GTGAATTCTTCTTTTTTTCTAACTCCTTGTGACCTTTTTTTAAATAAAAAACCTACCTGAACAGATCCAAAATTAATTCTTTCTGCCATCATCAAACATTTTGCATGCCTGATAGAAGCATAAAATTTGAGGTAAAGAAAATGAAATTCATGTATTCTGAATAAGAGAATCTCAATTTATACCATTTTCTCCCCAGATTATGCAAAAATCAAAGAACAGGGCCATTCATGTGTATATTTTTAATGATGGGTCTCAGAATGACAAAGAAGTTGAACTGTTGGATCAGTCAACGGTTCAAACATTTAAGCACAGTGGTTTGCAAATTCATCAGTGTAGTAACTCCACTGAAAAACTAGTTTATATCGGAAACAAATTTATTGCAGTAACTGATTCAGTTTCCTGTGCCACCTGTCTGTATCTCTCTGTGGTTGTATTTTTTTAATAACAGCTCTTAATCTCTACTGTTCACTAATAAAAATATTTTAATAAGAGATAATACTGTAATCCAAATGCCTATAGGTGCTTGCATCAACTATCTCTGCCTATGTAATTGCTAACGCTTTGTTCAACCCTTTTTAAAATTGCTATTAAATCTCATTCTCATTTTCTGTATTAATAGAACAAGAATTCATTTTTAGCATATCCTCAAAGCAGTAATGAGCATTGTTAACATGTAACAACAATGCCCAAGGGGAAAGTTTTCAAAGCTGCTCTAACCTTAAGGCTTTGCTATTGATGTACTACAGAGTCATCAAGCCAAGAGCTGTTAGAGCTAGTCCATTTGGAGAGTTCGGCTGAATATTTCTGCTTAATATATTGGAAGAATTATAAATGGTTTAGGTGGTGACCTAGGGAGAAGGGGGAATTTTTGTTTAATAGCTTAAGAACAGAGGAGCAATATTATAAAAACAAGTATACCTCCTGCTCATTTTAAAGTGTATCATATTGTGCTTTTGTTCTGGGTTTCCTTCCATACAGATTTTCATAAGAGGTTAATGAGAAAACATTAACAAGGCATGCAATATTGCACACGGGCAGGGAAGCTGAAACATAGTTATTTAGTTATAAACAAACAATAGATGTTACTTTTTAATTGCTTTTTCAGAAACCCAATTCTGCCTTCTTGAAGAAGCATTATCTGTCTTATTAAATGGAGAATATTATCCTTATTTTATTTATTATGTATAGTAAAAATAAACTTTTCTAAACCAGTAGTGCTTCACTGATTTCCATTGAATGTGTTGATCACAATAAACCAGTCAAGACCCTATAGATTGAAAGTTGTGTATGAGTTGTAGTGCGGCAAAAACACTTCCTTGAGTGCTAGAATTTGAGATTGAGCCTTTGGGTTAGCGGCAGGTAGCAGAAGTGACTTCAGGAGTCTCTATTTGGGATACAAATTAAGAGGCTCAAGAACAGCGTATTACAGCAGTGATATGTAATAACATCATTTTCATTGCATTTTTTGAGGTCTTGGTTTCATTACTGTGAAAAGTATAAGGGTGCGTTTTAGATGATGGTTGGATATGTCAACAGAGACCGATTATACACTGTTTCAAAATCTGAAGTTCTGTTGGGCAGGCAGGGGTAGAAATGTTCTTTTGTTTGAGTTCAGTTTGTCTCTGAAATGAATGCATAAATTGTTGTCATTTAGCCGCCTTGATTCACAGCACTTGGTCACACCATTGCCCTTTCCTTGGGTATAAGCTAAAGGTCATCATGTCCTAAAACAACTAAATATGAATAGACAAGTTCGATAATGTCAAAGCTCAAAAATATTGACAGTCTAAGAAATGTGCTGCATGTTGTGTATTCTGACCATTTTTTGAAATGGGGGAGGGGATTATAGGAGCAATCTTAGTGGTTAAATAGGATTCGGACCCTTGCAATTTCATAAGCTACATGTTTTTCACTTTAGAGCTGGATCTGATGTTGCTTTTCAGTAGAATAGTTGGTTTGTGTTGCAGGAAGGGACTTTTTAAGAGGGTACTCTAACAAGGGACCTCTTATAAGATTTTACTTAGTGTTTGTTTTTAATTCTCAAAGTGAATTAAATAGAGGTGAGATGTTGAATCTGATAGCAGGAGGACATAAGTTTGTACAAAGCATGAATGAAGGCTTTATAGGCTTTCTTCCACTCCTCCTTCCAGATTGCTCCACACTGTACTGTGTGCTTCACTCTCTTGAGGTGTATCTGTCCCTCAACTGAGAACAAGGTATGCATTTGAAATTCCATATATACCATTTGTCACTTAAAAATACGGCTTTCTCCTGGGCTGTCACATAGGGACATTCAGTCCCCATGTTTATTTAGTCATCGTCTGCTTTGCAAGACCTTTTTGACCTTTGTCAAAAAGGTGGTTGATGACAATACTGGAAGGAGGAACCATGGCTTTCAACACATTCCTCAGTGACCACTAAACAGGTATAAGATGATACAGATTCTTGGACACCATATTGTGCATGCATTTCATAGAGTTTAGTTCTCGTGATTCATTCTTTGGACCCCTGCAGAAGGTTGAGAGCTATGTTTGGGGTAGAGATTTCCTGCTCTTTTCATGGTAAGGATTCTGTTTGAAAAGTCTTCCCCAAAGGCTCACAGAAATTTCCAGGAGGCTCAGTCCTCAACAGACCGGTCTCTGTGGTCTCCAGTTGGTTCAGAACTGCTAAGTGTCCAAACTGACTTTGTTATTTTTACCTTTACTTGTGGACTAGACATGTTCTCTGATATCTAATCTATAGATTAGCAGCAAGCTTGAATCTTTCTTGCTCAATGGACATTTGACTTTCTTTTGTCTTTTCCCTATAGTTGCCTCAATTTGTTTTGTCATTTTTTTCAATAGGGAGCAAAAGAAAAGGAAAAGCTTTCCCTAGGTCTGCTCTGTCAGGGACCAATTATGTTTGAGCTGTTCTCTAACCATGTATCCTATTTCTTCGACAACTGTTGCCCTTCTGATATATTAATTCATACATAAAGCTGGCTTGGTTTTCCTTGAACTGCCTGCTGCAGTTCTTCTCTGGTTCACACAGACCCTTGTTCCTTTCTCCCTGCTGGATTTAGTCTTCTTTTGAAAGAATGAATGGATATGAACTTCAACTGATAAATACATGCATTTGAATCTGTGACTGATTTGTGGCTGGATTGTTTTTGATGACTTTTATCTGTAGTTGATTTGCATCTATTTGGCTCAGGCTCGCTGGGGGTAACATAGAATAAATGAATAAATGAATTTGCGGAAGAGGCAAGGAGAGAACGGATGAATGAATGGGTGACGGGGAAAGAGAGGGAGACTAAACAGAAAGGGATGGATAAATGGTGATTAAGAAGTGCAGAAAAATGAGGAACAAGCAGAAAAGAAATAAAAAGAATTCAAAACCGAAAAGAATAGAAAGAGTCAAAAAGAAATAACTAAGAACTTGGTGCCTGATTACATCTAAAAGAGCAGAAATGGGTTACTTTTAATTATGTGAAAGGGCTAGAATTGTGCACTAGCGAAGGGAAGAGTTTTTACGGGGAACCACGGGTCAATGTCCAGCGTTGTCCGAGACTCAGAGCAGTAAGTCTTGCCTATTTGATCAAGTTAAGTGTTTGCTACAGCGCTTATGTACTCTGAACTCACATTAGCAGCGTCTTTCTACCTTTTGCACAGCTCCATGTGGAATACCCCTGTAATGAATCCTCATTTTCCTCTTTCAAACTTGCTGGTTTGGGTTAGCATTTCTTTGTGCCCTCCTGTCTGACCTTTGTTCTTTTATCAGCATATACAATTAAATAAAAAACAGCAGCAAAACAACTAAGCACCTCTAAGACTTTCTTAGACTAGTCATATTGAAGCCCCCTTGTTTTTTCACATCCACTTCCATGTTCCTGCCTGTTATCCCTTGTCACGTTGCATCTCAGAAGCTCTGTTAGCACCTGCAGGCAGAGAGCACCATCGTTCAGTGTTACACGTTACACATGTACTGCACAGCCCAAATAATACATAGCATGAGTCTTTGAAACTGATACTGTGACTGAGGAGGGAAAACCTTTGTTACTACGTTATCTGCTGTCTCAGACATCTGACTTCTATTTGGCTTCACCCAAATTCGTCTCCGTTCACAAAGCAGCAACAATTGCTGTTTCTCCTGCCCACCATGTTTATTTTCTCCACTTTTTATTTGGAGATCAGGGGAGCTTCCAGGCACTGCCAGTTTGCCTGTTTTCTCTCTACTTTTGACCTCTGTCCACTAAACTCTTACTGTAGGGCTTAATTTTAAATGGATGAATGTGATTATAAGTATTCACGTGATAATAATCAAACATGTGTTTAAAGTGCCTTGCTGGTTTAGTTTTGAAGAGAAAAACATTCCCACTATGTATCTGCTTTGAATCTATCACAGAAAAGGTTCTTAATCTTGATTGGAGTGTCTAGGTCCTAATGGACAGCCCATTACCATCAACATGTATATGTTTATATTGACTGTAGCAGTTCCCCAGGATCCAATTGAGAGTGGACTCTCACAATAAGTGCTAAACAAAGTTTTGACATTCCCTGTCCCAAACACCTTACAGCCTGTGCAAACAAGGCAAACATAGCAAGTAAGGTAAAGAAATGTGAAATGGTAGTCCAGAGACCATCATATCAAACATCATCTGAATTTCACAGATGGTGGAGATGCTGGTATGCCGAAGTCATCTCAGGAAAGGAGAGATTGCCCAATGGCTCAGGCAAATGATGATTAGCTTTTTGTTTCTTGCTTTGAATCCCTGGACACACAGGGAGGCTAGGACATTTCTCATGGTGACATCTGTCATTCATCCCCTGAGGAATGAGTCACGAAAGTTGAGATGACAATTCTTGTCTTGAAACATACCAGTGTGCTAAATAAAAAATACCCATCAGAAGGAAAATACACCATCTGCAGTAGGAGAAGTTTGGGGAAAATTACTTATTTATTGATGATGTTTCTCCTCTCTCTTCCCCCTTCTCCCCCCTTTTGTTTGTTTGTGTTTACAGCAGTTGTATGCTGCCCAACTTGCTGCGATGCAAGTGTCTCCGGGAGGGAAGATACCTGGCATACCCCAGGGTAACCTTGGTGCTGCTGTATCCCCTACCAGCATCCACACAGACAAGAGCACAAACAGCCCTCCACCCAAAAGCAAGGTACTGTACCAGGCCCTGCAGCATTGTGTTTCTGACAACGTGGGTACTTGCATGTGGGTTGTTTTTTTTTTCTGAAGGGTATCTGTGCCTCTCAGTTGCAGGCAGCTTTGTGCTCAGGGTGGCTTCCTAAAACAGGAGAATATTCGTAGTGCCATTTTTCCGATGGGAGGACCCCAGCACAGTAACACCGAACAACCATTTATACATGACGTCAGTAACAGCCACCACCTCAGCCGAGATCCCGTGGTTTCCCTTGCAGTGTCCTAGCTGTCACACTGCTGTGTCTTCCATCATCAGTAACAGATAGCGGGCTGAGGTGACAGCTCCTATTTCAGCACACAATGGTTGTTTCCTTTCAGAACACTAAAATGGAGTCAGGTTAGCAGTGTGTCAACGAGAGATGGGAAGCAGTGGGGCGTCTCATCCGTGCCCAGATCCTGTCCTGGGGTTCAGCGGGAGTTTGTGGAGGAGCAAGTCTCCAAAGCAATGTCTGTTGTGTCATAGAACAGCGCTGGTAACTGTCCATCAAGCGATGGGCTCTGATGAGTAATCTTGGTCATAGCTGGGCAATTAGGTCCATTCTCATTTAAGAGGTCAAGTTAGCAGCTTGTAGTCACATCTGTATAACGCTGCCAGTGTGTGACTAGTTATACCTAGAAAAAAGACAGAGAATATGTCCAGTGGAAGAAGATGAGCTCAGCGTATGCCACAAGTGAGCAAAAGTAAGGGGTCAAAATTGGATGGCACATCTTAGGTGTTGCTGAAAAGCTAGGAAGAATTTAGCTAAGGAATGGAGGGAAAAAGCAGTCCAATTTCGGTGACAGCAAGAGCTTGATAAAAACATGTCCTTTCTTTTTGTTAGTGTCCTCTAGCATGCTGTCCATGTCCTTTATCATGTCAGAAAAGATTCCTTGAATTGACAGTAGTGTCTTGTTTTTACCCTAACAGTAAAGCAGCGCAGATTAAAAATAAACAGACAAATAAATAATACCATTGTTAGCTCAGTGAGGTACACATTCAAAGAATAAAATAGATGGTGTGGAACCAGTAGCTGTTGCGTCAATGAATCAAGCACTGGGTCTACATTTTCTTTCCTCTCTCCTCAGTGCACACTTTTTGACTTCCGGAAATTTATCCTTGGCTTGGCCTCTTCTTTTATATACTGTAGAACGAGGAATCACAAAGCTATGCAGTGCTCGGTAACAGTTTTGGTTGTTTTTTTTTTTCTGAAAAGTCATGTCTATGGTTAACAAGAGATTTTTGTGCATTTTACAAGGGGCTTTTGTGTGTGCCTAGCAGCATGCTTGATCCACTACACTTAAAATCCTGGTGTTGTTTTTGGATCTCTCGTGCACAAGCAGAACGTCTGATGAGATCTAAGGGGGACACAGTATTTATTTTGTGGCAATTGTGGTATTAGAAGGCCTGCCATATCTACCGGTAACATCAAGCGTAACTGTCCTACTGGCAGCTGTCAAGATCAGCTCTGTTCTTCCATGTGTTTTATTGCCTTTTCATATTTGTAGGTGTTCCAGTGCTTTTGGCTTGCAGTTCTGTAGGACACAAACAAAACTTATTTGCAAATTGGAAAAAAAAAAAAGAAAAAAGTGGGCCACAAGGAAAGGAAGGGGGCTCCAAAAGGCTGTAAAATTGTGCAGCATGAGCCCTGTGATGCATGCTGTTTTCAATCTGCTGTGTGCCAGTTGGAGGCTCAGAGAGAGAGCGAGAGAAAGAGAAAGGATAATGCTGAGAAATGATAGAGTGGCTGTGACCTCCAAGCTCAGCCTGGAAATCCAAGACATTGATTTCACTTAGCA